GGCCGGTCCGCGCCGCCCGCTTTTCTCACGGTGCACCGAGGACCGGACATCAGTGCGAGAGCCTTGCCCAGGTCCCGGGGGTCTTGCTCTCGCCGTGCCCTTTTCGCCTTGCTCCTTAGGGGCCGTGCACGTGCGCTTCGTGCAGCGGTCTCCCACGGTCTCCCATTGTTAGGGACGATCCGATTCGGGAGCGTGTTCAGCGTCCGTCCCGCCGTGCGGACGGCCTGCCGCCTTCTGCACAGTCTCCATTTTAACCCCTCGTCCCTAGTCCCGGGTTATTTCCGTCAGACCTATTCCGTCCCTTAGAAATTACACTCACACCTCTCTGTTAATTGCTGAGCCAGGAGGCACGCAGCATCTTTTAGCCACCAGAAGCAGAAGCTGCAGCCTGCATGTGGGTTCTCTATCGTTTCTTAAAATTCTATAGAATCAAATATTGTTTTTACAATTTTAAAATAAAAAAATTGATTAATCATTAAAATGTGTTTTCTGCGATGGCCATTCACGTACTTAAGCCCATGTTGTGTTGCTCTGGGCAGAATTGGTCCTGGGCTCTTAGGGGACTGTGTTTTCATTTAGGAAGGTTTTGAAGGGAAAAATGCAGGAACCTGTAACATCAGTTGCTTGTATGTGCGTAATTATCGTGGCATCAGCATGTTGGACTGATTCAGCAAATATTTGTACAACATACATATCGAGAACTATGGTCAGAGTTTGGGCATACGAGGGAAAAAAGAGTGTGCCTCAGGGACCTTCTACCATTTAGTGCAATTATTGTCTTAAACCAATATGTAGTTTGCCTAAAATACTACAATAGCCCTATTATTGTTAAGTGCCTTAACACCGTACTTCATTAAATTTTTGCAAAACAAATCATCCCAATGTAGACTGTGATGTTAAAGTGGCCAAAGTGAGACAACTTCTAGAGACTTGGATTATCATAGCATTTTCATAACAATTGTTGTAAATTCATATCCTCTGAGGACCACTCACTTAAGCCCTGGGCTAGGCCGGGCATGGTGACCCACGCCTGTAATTCCAGTACTCAGGGAGGCTGAGGGTCATTGCGAGGTCGAGACCAGCCTGGGCTACAAATGAGCTCAAGGCCAACCTGAACTGCGTAGAAAGACCTTGTCTCCAAAAGACAAAAAACAAGCTCCTGGGCTAGAACTCGGGATCCTCCTGCCTCCATCTCCCACCCTGCAGGTTATAACCAGATTATAACCATGGTTATAATCCACATCCAGCTACCAGTCTTTCTTGATCATAAGATATCAGAGGTATTTATATTTGAGATACTTTCACAAAAGCTTGCTAAAAAAACTAGAGTACTGACTCATCTGGTTAATTTTATGTAATGAACTATCTGCTGTATTCAATTGGCCTTTAACACTTGGAACACTTCTCTAAGAAAAGAAAAAACAAAGAGGATAAAATACAATACTGACAGTGTTAGAAAAGCCGTTAGAAGGTGGGTACAGTGGCACACACTGTAATCACAGTTACTCGGGATTGAGGACAGAAGGTCCCAAGTTCAAGACCAGCCTTGGCAACTTTTCAAGACCGTATCCCCAAGTTAAAAAAAGTAAAAGGCTAGGTTGTAGCTCACTGGCAGAGTGCTTGTCTAGCATTAGTGAGACCCTGGGTTTAATCCCAAGTACCACAGAAAAAAGGAAAATTGCTGGAAGGTGGCAGAGGACAACTTTGATTTGAAAGTGATACAGTGAATCCAGCAACGACCACATGGTAGAAAAGGAAGCAGAATGACCTAAAAGGGAAATAAATTCACTAAAACCCTCGCATAATTTCGAGGTGAACATATTAGGCCTTGATATTTCAGTACTGTTTTGGCATCTGTCACCTTGCAGTCTTGTGTTTTTGTGCGGTTTTTATGGGTTTTGGGGGGTTTTTTGGTCTTTTTGAGACAGGGTTTCGCTAGGCAGTTCAGGCTGGCCTTGAGCTCACTTTGTAGCCCAGGCTGGTCTCGAACTCACACCAATCTTCCTGTCTCAGCCTCCTAAGTGCTGGAAGTATAGGTGTGCACCACCATCCCGGCTCATACTTGTATTTGAGAGAAAAGGAATTCTGTTACCTGGAGTTATAAGCACTATTGTTTTATTAATCGTAATAGCCACAGGGCTGGGGCTTTAGCTCAGAGGCACACCATGTGCCTGACAAGCTCAAGATCGTGAGTTCGACTCCCAGTACCAGAAGGGAAAAAATAAAATCATAATAGCCACTCTTAAGTTCTTGCTGTGACAGGCTCAATGCTAACTGCATTGTATCCTTACAGCAACATTTTTTTTCTTTTGGTTAGTTGGTAGGTTTTGGTTTTTTGAGACAGATTCTCACTATGTAGTCCAGGCTGGCCTCGAACTTGGGATAGCGATCCTGCCTCAGCCTCCTGAGTGCTAGGCGTGCGCCCCCACACCCAGCCTACAGCAGCACTTTGACACAGATGCTGTTAGTGAACCTTCCACTACAGATACAGAAAGTGAGTCTTCAGGAAAGCGTGGTCCCATCTGTGGAGTGAAAGGGGAGGAGTGTAACCTAGATGGGTGTGACTCCACAGCCCATACACTGTTGTGTGTGTGTCATCCTGGGCACGGCGGCAGGCCCCCCGGACCAGTGTACCGTGGCGTTCTGTCACAAGCAGCTGCCTCTGGTATATTTGCTCTGTAAATGTTTTTTGGTTTTCTAGGGGTTTTTTTGTGTGAGTTTTGTGAAAGGAAAAGAGAGGACAAACCACTGTCTCCCATACATAATGGTACCATTCTAAATACCTGCATTGGGCCCTGGATGTAGCTCAGCGGCGCAGCACCTGCCTGGTCTTGAGTTCAAGTCCCGTTACCAAAAAAAAAAAAAAAAATCTAGCTTATTTTTAATGAAGCAGGCTATAGAATACAGTATCATTTTACTTCTCCATTAGTATTATAGAAAACATAGCTACTAACATAAAAGGGTAATTTTCTAAATTTATCGGTTTGGTTTGGGTTTTTTTGTTTTCTTTTTTGAGATAAGGTCCTGCTCTGGTACCCAGGTTTGACTCAGACTCCTGGACTCGGTTCGATCCCCCTGCCTCAAGCGTCCCAGTAGCTGGGATTGGAGACACCCACTACCATGCATGGCTCTGTTTTCTCGTTTTACAATCTTGACTAACCAGTATTTTTCCTTCTAGTTTCTTGCAGAGCATAAATTATTAGGAAACATTAAAAATGTAGCTAAGACAGCTAACAAGGATCATTTGGTTACAGCCTATAACCATCTTTTTGAAACGAAGGTGAGTATTATTATACTCTTATTATCAGAACCTCATTTTAGAAAATTTATCTCTAAAAGAAGTTTTACATGCATGTACCTGTAGAAAAAGTTGGGATTTTTTTCTCCCTGCGTTTTTCTTAATAATTGAACCCGTTTTCAAACTTAGCAGGGCTAATTTGCAGTATAGCAAAGTGTTTTGGTATTTTGAAAGGGGCTAGATTTTAAACGATTTCCTAGTAACTTAAATTCAGACATAAATTCTTAGACTATAAATCCTTTAGTTCAATTGATAGTACCATGTTAGTTTTGCATGTAAAATCTTATACAGAAAAAGTAAGTTCCATGTAATTAAAGAATTTAAAGACTGGATTATTTTTAAGCTGAGCCTTTACAAAAACATTTTTTAAAATTCTGCAATATTTATTCACTGTGAAGTGATGATGATCTTCCACACAGAAGAATCTTTTTAAGCTATGTTAATGTATTCAAGCAGGGCATGGTGGCACACCTGTAATCCCCCACTCAGGAAGGTAAGGCAGGAGAATCTTTGCGAGTTCGAGACCAGCTTGGGCTACAAAGTGAGCTCAAGGCCAGCCCTAACTGCATAGCAAGACCCTGTATCAAAAAGACGTAAAAATAATAATACGTGGTTTTTTTTTGTTTTTGTTTTTGGTTTTGGTACCAGGAGTCGAACTCAGGATCTTGTGCTTGCCAGGCAGGCACTGTGCCGCTGAGCTATATCCCTGGCCCAAAAATAATAATAATAGTATTCATATAAGCTGTTGAGGATTATAATTTATTGATTAAAATGCTTAACAGGGGGGCTGGGGATTTAGCTCAGTGGCATAGCGCCTGCCTGGCAAGCGCAAGGTTGTGAGTTCGATTCTCGGTACCGGAAGAAAAAACAAAAAAAAAATGCTTAACAAGATTTCCTTTGTTCTTACAGTTTATTAGGTGATTTATATGTGTGTGGATGTTATTTAACTGAGAGGCTGACAATCTAGCTAATTTTTAGCCTGTCCTGAATGTTGATGCTAGAATATTTTTCACAGCGTTTCAAAGGTACTGAAAGTGTAAGTAAAGTGACTGACCAAGTGAAAAATGTGAAGCTCAATGAAGAAAAGCCCAAGGAAATGAAGTCCGAAGAGACTCCGGATGAGGTGTGCCTGTGTGTTATTTATTATTACTTGTAAATTTAGTATTCGCTTTACAACCCAAATTTCTCAAAATGAGGGGTGCTTGGTGTGGCCGTTTTCAGTGAGCCAACTGACGGGAGGGTGCCGCCTCCCTAAGTGTTCGCCAGCAGACGTGACCCACAGGACTAGTTCTTCATGGCTACTAGCCCCTGCCCTGAAACACTTCTGACCTTGGATTTCGTTTCGCCTTCATGTCTGGCCAGACCGTCTGAGCTTGCAGAGCTATTTTAGAGATCTGATTCTGTAGCCAAGTTGGACTGAGCGGCCGAAACCTCCTTTTTAATTATTTTTAGCCTTTTCTGATGTCCATAGTGTCCCTGGCAATAGAAATAGCCCAAGCCTGGCTGCGGGCGTGTAGCTTCATCTGTGACAACTTTCCCAGCCAGGGTTTTATATTTTTTGTACCAGGCTTTGAAATCAGATACAATCATTTCTCCAGTGAGAAGGCCTTAGAGCTGAGAACAGCTCTAAGAACACCCTTAAGAGATCTGATTTGTTTTTAATCTTGCCATTTCTGATAATATCCTGCCAGCTAGGCACACTCATTGGTAGCAGTCTTAGTATCAGCCGTAATAATCGAACTCTCGTTCTCTTAAAGTGATTACCCTTGGGGTATTTGTGGACAGAGTGTGAACCCAAGTGTACAGTTACAGATGTCCGTGTGATTGAAGCTAGTTAATACTGCATGATGTCTTCCTCTTGGTTGAAAAGCACAAGCTAGTGTTTGTGGGTGTATGTGCACACAGAGCATTTTGAGGTTTGTTACGACTAATGTCTGTTAAGTGTTGTATCTGCTGAGGCAATATTGAGCTGCTACTAAGGCACATACAGCTATGATTAGTAAAGGTGGTCAGGAGCAATTGCCATCATAGTTATCATCTAGAAAATTAGAGTGAAGGTGGTCTTAGGAGGCAGATGATAAATGCATATGAGACAAGCTCTCAAAGGATGGGACAGTCTGGAGCAGTCTTGTGAGGGTGCTAACCTGTATCGTTGTCTCTAAGACCGTACCTAGCCATCCCCTTCTTCCCAGCTTAAAAGCTGTGAATCCTTGACTCTCTTTTTCCTTCTCAAGTCTGCTACAGAACTGTCCTCCCTTCCTTTCCCTTCCCCCGCCTCCCCGGCCAGCTCGAGCCCAGGGCCATCACTGCCTGCCTAGATTCCGTAGCTATGTCCAGTCCCTTACTGCTGATCCCCACTGTCTGCTTTCTCCTGTCACGCTTTGCGACTACAGAGGAAGCTTTGTGAAGAAATACATAATTAGATGGTTTATTATTAGGCCTTTCATAAATTCATACTAAACACTGTTATGCTATCTCTTGCTCAGTTCCCCGTTGCACTGCCAACATAAACTAAGGTTGGTGTAACAAATTCTGTTTCTTCTTACTTTTTTCTCATCATATTTCTGGGGTTTGTTTTTTGTTATTGTTGTTTCTTGTTTGGTTCTTTTCCTCCCAGAATGTGGGTGTCTGCACTGCTAACCGTCCTCTTCCTTTCTCCCCAGTGTCAGTGTCTGCCTTCTAGTGTCTCCTTCAGAACTGTTCTCAAGTACAGCCTTTCTCTTGCACATCTTCCTGTTTCCTTTTTTTACATTTATTTGTGGTTACTTAGTTTTGTTTTGTTTAGACTGGGTCTTACTATGTAAGTTCAGGGTGGTCATGAACTCACTGTGTAGCCCAGGGGCTGGACTCAAAAACTTGAGCAGCGACCCTCCTGCCTCAGCCTTCCAATCAGTGGGATTACAGGCATGCACTACTATGGTCACCCTATTTGCATTTTGAAACATTTGCAGGCCTCAGAAGGTATTGGAAAAGTTGCTGCCTTCATCCTTTCTTTGATTTTGCCCAACTACATCCCATTCAAATATCTTCAGTCTAGAAATTCTCTGCTGTCTAAAATTGCTTGGTGGTGTATAGAACTGAGAATTAAACCCAGGCCCTCATATAGGCACTGAGCTACACCCCAACCTTTATTTTTTGGTTTTGATTTTGAGGCAAGGACTTACGAGTTGCCTAGGCTGACGTCTAATTTACAGTCCTCATGCTTCAGCCTTCCAGGTGGGATTACAGCTGGGATTACAGGTGTGGGCCACCGCACCATTGTAGAACTGTTCAGTACAGTAGTCACTAGCTTTGTTAGCTCCCTGTTACTGTACCAGAACCCGTGGGATGAACAACTCACAAGGAGGATAGGTTTCCCCTGGCACACAGTTCGGGGGTTTCAGTCCCTGCTCAGTTGGCCAGCCGCTTTTGGGCCCCTGGCAGGGCAGCACCTTGTGGGAGTATCTGGTGCAGGTGGGGCAGACCTCACCTCACGACAGCAGTGAGGAAAGGAGAAACTGGAAGGCTCTGGTCCCGCCATCCCTTTCAAGGACATTTTCCCAGTAACCTCGTTTCCTTCTGCTGGTCTCCACCTCCACAAGTTTCCACCACATGAGCCTCTGGAGGACACTCAAGATCTAAACTCCAAACAGTAACAGCTACGTGTGGTTCCTTCAGGCTGAGACAGTGCTTTAACTTACTTCAGTAGCTGCCAGGCATGGTTGTGCACACCTTTAACCCCAGCACTCTGGATGCTGAGGCAGGAGGATCGCTGGGAGTTTGAGGCCAGCCTGGGCTATAAAGTGAGGTCAAGGCCAGCCTGAACTGCATAGCGAGACCCTGTCTCAAAAACAAAAACAAAAAAAAATAAATTACTTCAGTAGTACTCAGGGTACCCAAGCTGTAGATTTTTCTTTAGGGAAGCAGCCTAGCTTTAAAAGAATAATCCTAAGTCTCTAAATTAGACAGGGCTATTTGCACAATCCACAGGTTTCCTACTTGCTTGCCGGCAAAAGCATTTGGCACAATTTTGGTTTTGTTTGCAAACTTACATTGGGTCACAAACATGAGTGTGGCCATGTTTTCCAAAACCATGGAACAAATAGTTTGTGAAAGTTCGTCAACCAAGTTACCACTGTACTTTGGGAGGCTGAGGCAAGAGGATCTCAGTTTCAAACCCAGCCTGGGCAGCTTAGTGACTTAGTGAGAATATGTCAAAATTTTAAAAAGGTCTGGGGATGCTGGGTGTGGTGGCGCACGCCTGTAATCCCAGCACTGGGGAGGCTGAAGCAGGAGGATCTTTGCGAGTTCAAGACCAGCCTGGGCTACAAAATGAGCTCAAGGCCAACCTGAACTGCACAGCAAGATCCTGTCTCAAAAAAGACAAAAAAAAAAGTGGGGGGCTGGGGATGTAGGTCAGTGTGAAGGCCCTGGCTTCAACCTTGGCACCTCCTTTGTAATCCTTTGTTCTCCTCTGGGGCATGTGCAACTTCAGGGCCAGAGACAATATTGCCAAACTCATCTTAATTGGATATCACAGAATGATCTAGAAATGATAATTTTTACTGCTAAAACAACCCACATCTTTCTGGGGAAAAGTCACAATTTAATTCAGTGCTTTATGATTTTATAGGAGTTTAATAGTAATGGGTTTTCTAAACTTGAGAAGTAACTGAATTTGTGGCTTGTAGAGCAATTAACAGAATCTTGGTTTCCAAAAATGCCAGAGGTTATCTGAAACGAAATTACAGATGTGTAAGTTACTAGTTAGTATTCTCATCAGTCTTGAGATACTGACTTTAGTTCATAGAAGTTGCATAGAGGTAAAATAAATACTCTTTGCATCGTTCTGAGAGAAAGATGTCAATGAACCTGTATGTATGTTGGTTTTGATTTTAGGGTCCACCAAAATACACAAAATCTATTCTGAAAAAGGGAGATAAAACCAACTTCCCCAAGAAGGGAGACGTTGTTCACTGCTGGTACACAGGAACGTTACAGGATGGGACAGTTTTTGATACGAACATTCAAACAAGTAAGTCTCGATTTTTTTTTTTTTTTTTTTTCCTGGCTTAAGATACTGTAAAACTATAGGCATATGAGTTAATTCCCAGTTCCTTTTCTTGGTTCTCACCCACTTTTTAAAATTTTTTCTCTTTGTAGTCCTGGGGACTGAACCAAGGGGTGCTTATCACCCGGCTGCGCCCTTTTGGTTTTTGTTGGGCATTTTTCGTTGTTATTTTGTTTTAAGACAGGATGTCACTAGGTTGTCCAGACTGGCCTTGAACTTGTGATCCTATCTCAGCCTCGGATGGTAAGTGTGCTCCACCACACCCAGCATGTCGTCTACTTTTTTTCTAATGTTTTGTATACCTATTAAAGACCTTGTAGTCATTGGAAAGCAAAAATGAGGAAGCCTCCTCTAAATGTGGTTAATGTCTGTTTTAGGTCGTCTTCCACTGCTCAGACAGAACCCTGAGACTGGGTCATTTGTAGGAAAGGTTTTCTGGGGCTCCTCCTTAGAGCCTGGTGCAGTCCTCCGCTCAGCTTCTGGGGCAGGGTAGAAAAGCAGAAAAGGAAGCAGGCAGAGCACATCAGAGAGATCCACATCTGTAAGAGTGAGCGCGGAGCTGCCAGGCTTGCTTTATTAACAAACCTTTCTTGCAGTAGCCAGTCCAGGCCCTCTCAAGCAAGGATTCATTGGGAGAAACACTAATCCCTCCTAGCTGCCTAGTCACCTTTCACAGGTCCCAACACCATTCAGCACTACCATATTGAAGACCAAGCCTTGACATGAATTGCAGTACAGGAAAACCATATTCACACCATAGCAGTGTCCCAACATGGTGCTTTTAATCTAAGAGGCAAAATGGTATGCTGTCCTGTGATGTGAGTATGGTCCTCATCCCTTATCCTTCATGTAGACTTTTACAACTAGAATTTTCCTGACTGAATATAACCTGGTTTTCTGAAGTTTTCTTCTCAAATTGTAGAAGTCAATCTAAAAACTGTTCCCACGAGAGCCGTGGACATAGCTCAGCAGCACAGCACCTGCCTGGCATGCGCAAGGTCCTGAGTTTGATTCCTGCTAAAAAAAAAAAAAAAAAGTTGCCACCAGGCATGGTGGCACACGCCTGTGATCCAAACTCTGCGAGGCTGAGGGAGGCAGATCACTTTGAGTTTGCAGCCAGTCTGGGCTACATAGTGAGTTCAAGGTCAGCCTGAAATACAGAGCGAGACCCTGTCTCCAAAAACAAAAAAACTGTTTCCAGTGGAACTTAATTCTTTAATAAAAGCTAGAGTATATCATTAACTAGGAAGATCTGTCTTACAGGTTCCAAGAAGAAGAAAAATGCCAAGCCTTTAAGTTTCAAGGTCGGAGTGGGCAAAGTTATCAGAGGAGTAAGTAAAGAATGGCAGTGAATCGGTGGACATTCTGACACACTGTTGTGGTATAGTGCTAGACAGAACTACAGTTGGTGCACACCTGTAATCTCAGCACGTGGGAGGCTGAGGCAGGAGGATCACAGAGTTTGTGGCCAGCCTGGGCTACATTGTGAGTTCAAGGCCAGCCTGGACTACATAACAAGTCTGTCTCAAAAAAAAAAAGTTACAATTAAGAATATGACAAAAACAATCTTTGAGCCAGAAATGGTGGCATACGCCTGTAATCCCAGCACTGGAGAGGCTGAGGCAGGAGGATCACTATGAGTTTAAGGCCAGCCTGAACTGCATAGTGAAACTTTATCTCAAAAAAACCCAATCTTTGGAGTTGGCAGACTGGATACTGTCATCTCCAGCATATCTGGCACAGCTGTCAGTGTCTCAGGCAGCCCAGGCCAGCCTCCTCCTAGTGGAGATCCTCTTCCCCAGCGCCTGAGTGCTGCAACTGTAGGCGTGCTCCACCACGCCCAGCAAGGACTGTTTATGCTCTTACAAGATAGAGTTCAATCATATTCAGAGCCCCAAACAATGTAAAACATTTTGTAAAAGGTATAGTAGAGTATAATTTGTAACTGCTTATATAAAACAGATAGCAACTATATATTGAGCACATGTTCTGGTTCCATTAACCAGCTACTGGTAAATTTCTTCTATTTCACCAAATTCTTTGCTTCCAAATGTGAGTATATTAGACTGTAGTATATTTGTATTACATTGATACAACTGTGAACAACTGAATTTAACGTCCAAATTTGAAAAACTGAAGAGGCAACATAGAAGACTTTATCATTTCTTTGAAAAGATGGTTTTGCCAGGGCCAGGGACATAGCTCCGTGGTACAGCGCCTGCATGGTAGGAGCAAGGCCTTGAGTTTGCTTCCCGTACCCCCTGCCCAAGAAGATGCTTCTGCCTTCTGCAAAAGATCTTAGTTGTAACAGAACAATATGGTAATATTAAAAGTTTTACACCAGGCGTGGTGGTACACACTTGTAATCCCAGCACTCAGGAGACTGAGGCAGGAGGATCCTTGTGAGTTTGAGGACAGCCTGAGTGAGTTTGAGGACAGCCTGAGCTGTACTGTGACTTCAAGGCCACCCTGAACTGCATAGTGAGACCTTGTAGGAAGGAGAGAGAGGAAAAAGAAGGAAGAAAGGAATGAAGGAAGGAAGGTAGTTTCAGAGTAGTTGCTAGTTTATCCCTACAAAAATGAATGCTTCAATTTGTCCTCTGATGTAGAAGTATATCACATATGTATTGCATGTTAGCGTTTACTAATGTGCTTTCATGTATCTTTTAAGAAGTGTTATCACACTGAAAAATGTTAATGTAACAATTCTTTCATTGAGGAAATTGGAGACCCAAGATTTAAAGGCTCTATCGAGGATTATTACCTTAGAACATGATAAAATAAAATCCAGAAACAGTATGATTAATATGTGCACATATACATAACATGCTTGCTGTTCTGACATTGCAGGTGTTTTTTTAACATCTTTTTTTTCTCCCTCTGGACTTTAGTGGGATGAAGCACTCTTGACTATGAGTAAAGGTGAAAAGGCTCGACTAGAGATTGAACCAGAATGGGCTTACGGAAAGAAAGGACAGCCTGATGCCAAGTATCCTTTTTCTCCTTCGGAAATAAAGGACAAACACGAAAGGAAGATGAGCTTAAGGTGTTCAGAGAGGTGCTGTCTCGGCTAGCTGTGCAGATAGGAACCCTGTCCAGTATAGTCCTGATCCTCAATGCTCGTGTGTCGGCTCATCCAGGACAGACACCTCTTCCTTTCCTCTACCCTTCCTTTTTCTTTCTTGCTATATTGCCCAGGCTGACTTGAAACTTCCCAGTGAGCTGGGGCAACAGGAGAATGCCACTATGTCCAGCAGAGAATACTTAGTATTTCCTGTTGTACAAAGTTTTTTTTGTTGTGTTGGGGTTTTTTTTGGTACAAAGTATTAAAACTTGAGGTGGGTTCTTTTTTTTCCCCTTACTCAAGTTTGTATTTTTGAGATCTCAGCTGCAGGGCACAAGCTTTTATCACTGAAATAAATTTTTAATATATGCAAGGTTTACTCCAGTAAGTTAGTATACCCAATATAAAGAAGTAGCAAGCAGTGCTGGGCAAATGCAGCTCATCGTAATTTTATGCTACAGTATAATTTAAGGCAGTTGAGTAGGCAGAGCTTAGGACACAAAATGGGGATTGCCAATTATCAAATGGGTAACATTCACTCATATTAATGGCAGTACTTCACAGATGGGTCCAGCTTATGAACACTTAAAAAGTAATGATGCCAGACCATTCCAGTCAGATCAAGCCAAGGTAAATGGGAAGGTAACTCAACAGCTTTTGTGGTTACATTCCTGTTTCCCCAGGTTTTTTTTTTCTTTTTTTGAGGGGTAGTGTTTAGAAGTAAGTTTTACCAGTTACACTTAGATAAACAGCTGTACTACCTCGCCCCCGTGTGCAGCACTTTTAAGACCAGTATGGTGTGCATAAATTCTCTGAACATCTTTAAATATTGTATACTAATTTCATACAAACTTCAATTTGAATATAACATACATAGTCAGTACACTGAAATTACTTTTCTTCCTTTTTTACTACTGAGTAGCAGCTTTCATGAAGTGGTGACTAGTTGAGAGCCTTCTATTTGAACCTCGGCTGAGCTAGTCAGCGTGCTTGTCGTTAAGATACAGCCGAGTATTATTACACTCTGAATCAGCTACCGAGCTCTTCATATTAGGGTTAATGACCAATATCCAGAATACAGAACCCTAATTTTATAGTAAGGCTCTTGAGAGGATAGGGGAGAGATATGTTTATCAAATTTGCCTTGACTTTTTCAACAGAATTCCACCAAATGCAAAACTCATTTTTGAAGTAGAATTAGTGGATATTGATTGAAACAGTACTTAAGATCTGAAGACATCAGAGTGATTAAAACTTGGCCTTGAAACTTAAATGTAACTAGAACTTGTTACTATTGTAAAGACTTAACTGGAAAATTCAGAGTTAAGTTAAATTTACTTGATCCCAATTTTTGAGAAATGTAATCCCTTATCCCTGAGGTCTAAAATATTTTACTATAGCTGTATGGAATACTGGTTAAGGAAAACCATTTCCTTTTACCTCATGTTGTGAAACTGAAAAAGTTGAATTAAAATATATCCACTGTCGTGATTTGATGTTTGGTGTTAATCTTCTGATCACGTAAGCAGGACTATTAACATCCAACCAGGAAGTACAATAACTAAGAATAAAACTGAACCTTGCTGAGGATACTGTCATAAAATACTTAAATATTCTGTGTGGTAAGAAGTCAGAGGCACAGAACTTAAAAGGAACCACTAAAGCTTGAAAGGGCTAACAGATCTTAGCAGAAAGATCATTAAACATAGGGTTAACACTAAGTACTCCCCCGAAAACAAATTCACAGAACAACTGCTGGATGAATCTTCAGTTTTATTACAAAAATGAAGATGATCAGTTTGATCAAAATGAAAGCTTGCTCACAAGTTTTACATGAATATTCTAAATACAAAGTCTCCTGGAACAACATACTTTTGATATGATTTTCATTTAAAGGGATGCAAACATTACATTTCCTCATTTATAATCTATCCCACGGTATAGTATCTTAATAGTGTATCTTTTCTGCAGTTAGATCCAGATTCACAAGTATAACTGAAACACTCAAGACAACCTTGTCATCAAAGGTTAAAAATCATTTTTTGTTTTTACAGAAGAGGTAAATCCTTAATAGCCAGCCCTTATGTTTTCACAATCTTGTACTACACTGACATGATTGGCAGTCAGGGTTTTTTTCCTACACTTAAGGCTATAAAACTCTTGCAAATGCATTGCAAAAGAATTCTAGACCACTTAATGCAAAAAATAAAAAAAATAGTTCTCCAATAAAAAGTAAATTTTATAAATGGTAGGAAATAGTATCTGTGGTAAGCTACTAATTGGCATTTTCCCCTAATGTTAACACAGAAACAGGAGACAAGTTATCAAATACAACAAGCTTATGCTATGTTCACATCCCTCGTTTAAAAAAAAATAATTTCACACTTTTCACATATTCCATCTGAAATTTACATGTTTCCATCAGGTTGGAGGGGGAGGATAATACTGTCCATAATTCCAAGGGTTCTGATAATTGTACTGAAAAGAAAAAGTAAACATGTTAGCATAGTAATTAATACAAGAGCCAAGCTTCAAATATAAAAGTTACAGCAACTATGTTTAAGACAATATGTGTGTGTTCATACTGCAATTCAAAACCTGAACTAACTGCAACTGGCAGTCTATTACACAATCTGGAACAAAGCCTAAGCGTTGCTTTTATTTTAAAAAGTATCCTAAAATCTGCTTCTAATTAAGTCTATGAACAAAAACTTATGTGTACTCACTTGATACCAGGCACTGTAATTATATGCAGCTTGATTTGCTTGTAAATCACCATCAATCATCTGTGTAGATGATGAAGTTGTATCTTCTGTGTGTACTTTCTTTTCTTCTGGCTCTTCTGAGCTACGTAAAAGATCAAATGGAAACTTTGAGGACTTCCACAAATAAGAACTTTATTAGAAGACTGTCACTGCATAATTTGTTTTACTGAATGAACATCTGTTTACTTTGGTGGTGGAGAGGGCCATTCTGGAGAAGCACAGTAAAAAAGCAAAAGTGATGGACTAGAGGGCACTTAGTGACAAATACATAGCTGGACAAATTCTGAGTCACAGGCTGAAACCTAAACTCCACAATTTACCTTCCTTTTGGAAAGCAATCCCTCAAGATCACTTGGCAAAGAATGGCCGTGTATCTTTACACCACAGTGCATGGAAGCTCTAATACCCGAAAGAGCAATCTAGATTATGGGCCCAGTACCCTCCCTCAGTGAACCCTCAACAGTCCGCCAACCTTGCCCAGTGAGATGGTCACAACCCTTTCTTGGTACGGCCCCCAGAAGACATTCAGCCTTTCCCGCTCTACAATCCGGCTACACTGTGTCACCTTTCACTGAGATCACAGGCTCATGCCCATGCCACCGGCGGCAAAACAGTCTGGGTGATGTTTTCAAGATTTCCATATAAAAAAAATCTTTCTGATATAAAAATCAGACTGTGTCTACACAGTGTCCATATTTTCTCCTAACTTAAGCTGGGACTGGCAGTCATTCCTGAGATGGAACACACTTCACCAAGGCAACAATACATGTCACTGCCACCTGCCAGCCTTGAATCTGGGTTCCTTGCTCTGCCACTGTTCTTATACCACTCCCTCTACTTGCAAGGCTTAAGGCCTACCTCTGCACTCATCTTAATGGTTTTCCACCTCCTGTATCTGCTCTAGGTTCAGTGGGGCTGCTTCAGTATCAAAGTTTGTAATTCATTTTAGTATTATTTTCCCAAATCCCAGAAATAGCTGAATCACCATGACAAAACAGTAACACTTAAAAAATACTTCTCTCTGGCCGGGTATGGGGCGCATGCCTGTAATCCCAGCACTTGGGTGGCTGAGGCAGGAGGATCGTTGCAAGTTCAAGGCCAGTCTGGGCTACAAAGTGAGCTCAAGGCCAACCTGAACTGCACAGCAAGACCCTGTCTCAAAAAAAGACCAAAAAAAATACATTTCTCTTTAACATGTTCCCACTAGTGTGAAACACCGATAGTACATGCACAACTCCCATGCCACATGATGGGATGGATAGTCATACACGTGTAGTACCAGGGGTAGTTCAGAGCCGCCCGGCAGCCACACGTAATAAGGTACAGCCCCACCATGAACAAGTTACAGGCACTCTACAATGGAGTGTCTTCTTTTAAGCAGCCCTTCCTGATTTAGCAAGAAGTTACATACCCATTTTCTGCTTTTCTTTTTAAACTATCTTGTTCTTTTAGGAGAGTTTGATGTTCATCATAAGCATTCAAAAGCCTGAAAAGAAAAAAAAAAATCCGCTAAGCAAAAACCAAATTTTGGTTTTTTTAATTTTAAGTAGTTTCTTTTCAGAGAAACTAAATGGGTAAATGTGTAAGTGACTTGTTTCTCTCACTTTTTTTAAGTTCCAATTACAATAACCTTAGTTCTGATCCTCAGACTCTCCGTATGTGTAACTGCAAGGGCCTTAATGACACCTTTGTGTTAAGCTCCAATTTGTCTGCCTCTTACTGCCAATCAAACTGTCATTTAATTCTGATGGTTCAAATCCCAAGCTCCCTTCTGGCAGTGACCTACTACATGTGGCCTGCACTGTAAAGGCACAGCAGTCAAGATCAGACCTGCAGGACGGGGACATAGCTTACTGACAGAGCACTCCCCTAGGAGCATGCTCAAAACAAAAGACTTTTTCATATTTCTACTACCTCACCAAACCCTCCAGGCAAATGTAACTTTTATATGGACTTTAATCTGCTCCATTATTGTGTCCTCTCCTCAGCTTCTCCAAATCCAGTAGTCACTAAAACTGAGGCTCCAGCTCCACTTCGAAATACGACAAATCTAAACTCAGCAAGGTGGCACCTGCCCATGATCATACTCTGGCAAGCTGAGGCAGGAGGATTTCAATTGGAGCCCAGCCTCAGCAAGACCCTGTCTACCAAAACAATAAAAATTTACAGGGCTGTGTGTGCAGCTCAGTACAAAGACCTGGGTTCAATCCCCAGAACTAGAAAAAAAGAAACACGACAAATCCATTCCCTTGTTAACGTACACATTTGCATTATTTCCTGAGAATCATACCACCCAACTAAAATACGGACCTCAGTTCTTTTATACGCCTTCTTCAGTACTAAAGGCATTACATACGCAATACATGAGGTAGCTCAACAGCGGGGGCTTTCAAGCAGATTCTCATGCTCAGTCCCATGAATAATTCTAAGCTCCAAGTGAACTTAGAAAAACTGCCTCATCTTTGTAAAGATCTCTGTTCAACCACTAAAATACAACCTCTATCACACTGCTATAAATTCTACATTAGAATATAAAATATTTAGCATGATGCCAAGCACTTAAATATTAGCTTTGTGTTAATTTAACTGAAATCTTACACTCATCAAAAACATATACATAGACCCAAAAGAAATTTACAGTTGCAATGGCAATCACTCTAAATAGAATAGTTAAGCCACATGCCTAACAGGCTCTGGGGATATTTTCTTACTACAGTAAGACTGGCACTCCAGCAACAGAGTACTAGAATTTCTACTCATCTGTTTATTAGTAAATTTAAATTCTTAAACTTGTCCTTTCACAAATCTAGAGCAAATCCTTCTATCACCTTCACTGTTCAGTCTTTTAACAATGCAGAAAGATGACACCAATTAAACATGACCTCAAGCCAGGTGTGGTGGCACCTGTAATGCCAGCACTCAGGAGGTTGAGGCAGGAGGATTGCTGCAAGTTCCAGACCAGCCTGGGCTACAAAGTGAGCTCATGGCCAGCCTGATCTGCATAGTGAGACCCTGTCTCAAAAAGGCAAAAAAATACAGTAAAACATGACCTGTGGGACCACATCTACACTCTTCTCCAGTCTCTGATAAAACAGCATTCCTATTCCAGATTAACTCCATCTACGTATCTGTAATGACCTCTACACAATCTCTATGTGCTCCATGGTGTAATCTTTGTCTCATTTCCCATTTCATTGTATTGATTGTTGCTTCCTGCCTTCTCTCATCCACTCAGTTTGAATTATTCTAAAACTAGGGCAAATTTTGAAGAAAACACAAACCATCTGTCACCTGTAGGGCACATAAACATTTACAAAACATACTCTCATATATCTGAGGAAAAGTAACCAAAGCAAACACTGTTAAACTTAATAATTTATGAATCTATAATCATCAGATTCCCAAAAATATCAATGTTCACTTATCATTCATATAGATAATGTAATTAAGATCTTACTTATTAACATCTGATCCAAAATCTTCAAGAAATTCCACTTTTCTCTGAGAAAATGTAATTCTCATTTTAATAGGTAATGAACCATGTATAGCTTTGTCAAAACAATTTAATATATTTTCTTCATTTTGTTTGAGGTCACCGCTATATTCCATTTCAAGTAAATTGAGGTATAACTTTGTGTTCTCCTGTATAAAAAGCAGTATTAATAATTTTTTTAAAATATACTGATTACAGCACATATATATTAAATGTCTTTTTGTTTCAATTCAAAAAA